CACACACACACACACACACACACACACACACACACACACACACACACACACACACAGAGTTAAATCACACAGTTGGGATCCTACTGTTCTTAATTAAAATCAGGTACAGAATAAGAATGAACAGATTAACAGAAAATGCACAAGGCTTAAAGGATTTCTGGTGAGATCAAACTAATCTAGTAAGTGGCTACAAAAACTGTCTTTCACCTTGGATCAGATACACAGCCCTGCTTTAGGTTACACTTTTTTTTTTAAAAGCAATCAGTTTAGAGAAAGATGGAAAATCTTTGTTTTTTAAAGAAGCTTTGCCTCTATTTATGATAAAAATAACAGTTTTTTGAGATAGGGATGCAAACAATTAATTGACTTACGATTAATTGTCGAATAAAGGTTTTATTGGATTAAAATTTGTTCCATTTCATTGATAATGTCAGCTTAGACCAGGGGTGGGCAATTCTGCATGTTTGACTTGTTTCCCTGCTCCAACACACCTGTTTCCRTCATTAAATTACCTCCCCCAAGTTCTGCAGGAGCCTGATAATCACCCAGTCATTCAAATCAGGTGTGTTGGAGCAGTACGGTTTTTCACATGCTGTATTTTATTCTTTTCATCTTTTTTTTACTCAACAACCTAACAGATTTCTGTTTTCCTATATTTTTATAAATATATCCAAGTGAAATAATGTGTGAGAAAAACACTTTTTTTGTTTAATCAGTCACTATTTAACACAGCTGGCACAATAAAGTGTTGAAATACTGTATGATAATGTACAATTTTGTTTAAATTCGGCATATTATCTCTTCAAGTTATGGAAAGACACCCTTGATAGAAGAGAAAAAMCAGGTTTTTCTGAAAACGGYCGCTTATCAATTAATCGTTAGTCAATCAATGAGCTCAATCAACTTTAGATTAATTCATTATTCTTACTTGAATCCCTACGAGAGTTTGAAAGGTGTTTATAATTTGTATATTTCTAAACGGCACCTTAAAATCCTGAAAGATACAAATCTAACTGAAACCCATCACCTGTTTAAGAGCCAGATTTAACCTACAATTCATCACTTTCCATTAACATATAAATTACCCAGTGGGACTAATTAGGGAGAGAAATAAAGCATGCATATTTTCCTGGCACAGATTAATTTATTGATGGATTTTATGCAAATATTTATTGTCACACTTTCTGCCAACATCTACAAACTTTAATTAGATTATGATTAAAAAGCATGATAACAAATAAATAAATCCAAACATGACTAWGCACTCTAAATAACTGCACATGCATATCTTTAAAAGATAAAATAAATGAGAATTTCTTACATACTCTGAAGGAAAGTTTTATTTTTCTGATGTTCTTCATAGAAGCAATTAAAACGTTTGAATCGTCACAAATAATCACTGATTTGGTTGAACAGGAGCAGTCTCGTTTAAATTTTGTTTTGTGAAAGGGTGGCACTCTCTGTGGACACCAGACACAAAGCAACACACCGAGCACACACAAGACAAGTCCCCCCTAAAGGCATGATGGGATATGAGATRCATGTTGTAACACATGTTGCAATCCAATCTGCTCTGAACCCGTTTGTTCCTTTGTACTCAACTGATCTTCCCACCAGCA